TTGTCGAGACATCATCACAGAAATCACGCATGATATCGGTGCGCAAGTCTTGGCTGCAACAGTAGAAGAGGGCTGTCGGTGCCATGGTGCTAGAGATGGTCATTCCTTTTTTATGCATAGTCCACTGTCTTGTAAATGCTGACCACTGGTCGGGGTCACAAGCTGCTCCTACTTGTGGGGGATCCAGTTTCACTTTGGATGGGCGTACTGTTCCGTGTGCCGTCCTATCACGCATTTTTAATGCTGTAGACAAAGCGTCGGCGAATACAGCATCAAGGTCCTGTGATTGCCAGGTACAGCCGTCAACGTTAATGTCGGTATGATGGAATTAAGTCAGTTGTTTGGCCAGCTACTGGGGTGAGATGTTGGGATTTGGGGTAAATGCAGTTACAGGGTGGCTAGTGAATGATGACAGTGATGATCAACGATGGTTAGGATTTTAGGCGCTTTTTTAAAGTTGTGTTCTTCCTTGATTGCTGACTGGATTATGACGCAAAAAGAGATTGTCCATCATAGTTAAGAATGAATAACTTTCTTCAGTGATGTTATTGGACTTGCTCTTTATTAAGATTCAAAGGATGATGGACAATCTGAGGAAGGGTGAGAGATGAGTTAATTTAATATCTATCTACTTCCAGGATGGGATAAAACAATACGACCGAATACAACTGCATTGTACGATACATAACCTTCAATATCAAACTTCTTTCTTTTTCAAGGTCGTGAGCAGAAGCAGTCGTATTGTGCCCCCTCTCCCCCCTACTCCCCACCCCCTATAAAAGAGGCAGTTTTTGTCCCATCCATGAATGGAAATCTAGCTGGCCCTAACTCAAACCGATGAATTTGATTGGCAGTGTGCACTACGTACACAGGTATTAGATTCAAACTTTGTCCAAATAAATATGTATACGTACGTGGATAGTGTATTTGTATTTGCTATGCTTTCTCGAACAAGGCAGTATATACACATTATGAAAAAAGATCATGATTAGGGCGAAACGATTTTTAAATGGTTAATTAAACATATCACCGGTACAGTCTTGTCTTGATCTCAATGGCGTTCGGTCAAAATCACAATGTCAGAACTCGGTCTCTGGTGTGGTTGTACAGCTTTGGGGAGTAAATGTTATGGAATCTAGCGCAAATACCAAATAGAATTATTCTATCATTTTGAATTTGTCATTTCGCGAGTAGACTTCATCTTTATGTGTACGCAGATGTACATGTTCTTTCCACGCACGCCTCTGTGTGTGTGTGTGTGTGTGCGTGTGTGTGTGTGTGTGTGTGTGTGTGTGTGTGTGTGTGTGTGTGTGTGTGTGTGTATGTGTGTGTGTGTGTAAGAGAGAGAGAGAGAGAGAGAGAGAGAGAGAGAGAGAGAGAGAGAGAGAGAAAGAGAGAGATAAAGAAAAAAAAGATAGAGTGACAGACAGACACACAGACGCACAAACACACAGACAGGCCGACAGACAGACTCAAGTGAACATAAATATTATGTACCATACCTCACTTTATTAATTAAATACAACACAATCAAGTTGATTCACTTACACTGCTCCTCTTTTTCTGAACATGAAAGCCCAACATAAGTATAACGCCAATGCCATAGACCATCACTACAGCCACTGTAAACCTCATTGCCCCGTCATGGTCGTAGAGACTTCTGCTTTGTGGGCTGGTGGAGGAGTAGGGGGCGCTACTATTGCTGAAAATGGCGCTTTCGTTGGTTGCGGCTCTGAGAACTGGCCCATCCATTTTGTGGCAGTCAACGTTGTCTTAAAAAACCCAGCTCTTTCTTAATTGCTCATGCAAACGGATTTAGAATTTGTTGTCGACTTCTTTAAAATGTAGACAATTGAAATGATTCCTTCCTATGTATCAATATCATACAATCGCAGATATCCTTCAAAATAATGTTCCAATGGTTGCAGGTCTGAAGTGTGCAAAACCCTTTCTTCGAGGAAGAGGAAGACGAAGGCTCATAACAGCTTATGCAAGCCTTTTTTTAAAAATCCCTTGAGATAACCATTAAAAAAAGACAGAAAACTTGATGAAAATCAGATTCTAACTTGCTCTACGATGAAAGTTCTGACTAACGCAATACCTCTCTCTCTTTTTCTTTTGACCGCTTCTGAGCTATACTAATAATGACAGTCTATCGAAGTAGACCTCCTTCCGGAAAAGAAGTACAAGACTCAAAAGAAATCCCGTATTTCTAGTAAAAAGTATTACAATATACTATAGATCTACTTCTTTAGGTCTTCAGAATTTTTAAAATTATGTCATCACACATTTTTTGCCACAGACAATGACATGAAGGAAGTTTGTTATGACAAGTAGCCATCAAGATTGTCGGCCAACACCAAATCATGCCACTTGAATGTCATCCTCCTTGAATTCACACACCGAGTCGAGTCTGTATTACTACCCTGTATGAAGATTTCCTTTGGTGAGAGAGTGAAGGAATTGGTCAGTGGGGAGAGAAAGGGAGTCCGCCGCGATTCCAAGATGAGATCGATATATTCGGCCACAACAGCAGTATCGTAACGAAAGCGTCCTGTACATTGTTTGTTTGAGTAAAGAGAGACACATCGACACCATTATGATCATTTAGTACCGGGAGAACGTAAGAAAGACAGACAAAAATAAAAGAGGAAAAGTAAAAAAGTAGATCTAGGCGCCCTCTATCCACCTGCAGTCCTGTATATGAAATTTGTTTGAAATTAATGTAATACAAAAGAAAGCATTATTTTATGAAGCAAACACTCCCCTAACAGTGTTAGGTTCATGCTACATTGCGTTTTAAAAGCTGAAAAGCACATTGCAGATGTGTTATATACGGATTTACAAGTTTGAAGCATACATGTACTTTACTGGTTTTCTTTCTTCTACATACTACATACGCCTCATTTTTTAAAAACATCACCAAAAGTAGTCATCGATGCACCATGGTGGAGTATCTCCTGACTGTTTGGTATAAGACATCCCCCCTCCCCCCTCCCCCCTCCCCCCCCCCTCCTTCGTCTAATATTGACGGGATACTGGTATTGAAAGAAATTGTTTGCCAGTATTTTTTAAAGACCCAACTAGAAAACAGCAATGCTTCCCTAGCCTAGTTGTAAATACAAACAACTCGAGCTATAGGCTACTTCAAACGACCTCGGGTCAAAATGCATACCAAATGGATTATGAAGTAAAACTTAAAAATGAAAACAACACGTAAAAGGTGGAAAGTTGCTTTCTTGGTATTGGTGGGTGTATAACATCCTTAGAAAATTGTGAGAGGACAACACTTGTTAGCTATCACTGGTCTCTTTTTTTTAACGTACGGTGGATGTTTAGATCCCCAATCGACAAAACTTTCATAATTAAATAGGCGGTCTTCGACCCCAGTCTGTCAGGAACAACCTGGGCTTAGGAGAGATACAATGTCCCAGCAGGAAGACTGAGATACAAGAAATATGTTCTCCCAACAAGGATGTCGAACTCGGATCTTTTTTGCATGCGCAGTGAAGAGCCTAGCCGCTACACCACTGACAAATACTGGAACAATAGTCTTTTTAACGATGCTGAAGTGACTTCGCAACCGATTTGAGAGACAATTCTTATGATTGCATTTCACACGTGATAGATCACTCCATGGCCAAATTGTCTGTGAAATGGTTTCAATTCAAAAGGCCACACTTGAATATCTAAAACACAATTATTACGTGGCAACTCGACTTGTTATTGGCTATCACTGGCGTTGTTTATTGAAAAAATGTGTTAAGTGTTAGGGATACGTTGGGGCTTTTCGGCCAAAGTACATGTGCACAGTAAACATAATTTTTAAATTCAAATCTTTAGCTAAAACTTTTCAAATGAGGGTATACAATCTACCACTGTGAGAATAGTTCCCTTAAACAAGTGCTTGTCAATCTTGTATAAACACGTTTGCCACCATTGAGATGTTAGAATTTTCGTACCACACACCTACATTTACATTGTACTTTAAAGCAGGGCATTAAATAACACCCGTCACTACCCGGGTGATCCCCACTCTCTGCCAAAATAAGGCGCTCGGGTAATTTAAGTAGTATCAAGCTGGACTACGGTACCGATAACCCTGATTCAAATCTCAGACCGAAAATACCAAAATGCCAAAACGCCTTCCAGTGGACGATATTATCGCCTTCGTCGGCCGGCACTGGAGGTATTCAACATTTATTACAGGTATTTAACATTATCAAAGATCGTATGCAGAGACAGGTTGCTAAACAGATGGGCCAACGCAGAAACAGGAAGATGTCTCTTCGGGTTCATGGACAAACCCAACCCCAAAGACCCTTCGAATCTCGTATGTAGACTCGATCAGACTGATCTTCAGAGCCCGCACAGGACACTTACACACCAACAAGCACATAAACCGAATTAACCCCATGTGGGAACCCCATTGCAGACACAGTGACTACCACGAGGAGACCGTTGAACATCTTCTCCTTCACTGCCCAAACCTGACAGTTCTTCGACACAGGCTCCTACACACACCTACAGACTTACAAAGCCTACTCTACCCTGGCGATGACCAGATGACAAGAACAGGTGGTTACTTAAGGGCGGCATTGCGCTGCCAAGAGCGAAACGCTCGCAGCTAAAGGGATTTGAAAACAACAACAAAGATCGTGTATAACAAGATAGAAATTCGGTGGCGACCTCTTCGAAAAAGGGCTGACTTTTCGAACAGAGTCATCCTATTTGTGTGAAAAACAATAAAAGTGAAACCCACAAACTGTGTTACTTCTATTCGTCTTTCGGAGAAACGAAAGAGAGCTTCAAATCAAAGACTGCAGTGCCATCTGAAGTATTGTGTGGACTTCCGCAAACACTTTTTTTTTTTTTTTTAGCTGAGTGAACAATCTTGTTATGTATGATCTTTGACATTATAAATTATTCAACTGTATTCGATTCCAATGCGAAAAGTTCACGCCTTTCTCAGCCTTCCGGAAATTGGACAGTTTACTGGCGAGTCGGTGGTCAATACACCACAGTTGGGCGGGAGCGGACTCAGAAAACATTAGGTCCGCTGTTCAAACACAGGGCATTGTGCACTTCTCTCAAGGTCTCCGAAAGCCGGTCGAGAGAAGATCAGAGGTTCGAGATCAGAACAACTTAACAGTTGTACTTTGTGTGTGTGTGTGTGTGTGTGTGTGTGTGTGTGTGTGT